GGTGCATTTGACAGAAGAAATTGAGTCCGAACATTTCCAGCTCCATGGGGGTCTTCCTCAGAAATCTGTGACACAGCATCTGTGAAGAAATGCCCAGCCCTGTGGTAACTTATTAAAGCTTTTGTGAAAGCAAAGCAAAGCAAAACAAAACAAAAACACATTTTCCAATGCTCTTTGCTTAGAGAGGAATCTAGGAGTTAGTTCTTTATTTTATCTTTGTATGTATATCTATATCTGATTCTCCATCTCCAACCTTTTGCTGAATATCATAATTTATGTATTATTTTGAGCATTTTGTTTAGATTATTCATTTAGAACTGGTTCATAGTTTTTCTCGTACACACTGAGTGAAAGCAGTGGAAACTAATCTATTCTTTTCCTTGATAAGAATGCAGAGACTCATGTATTCTATCAGCTTTTTTCTTAAGTGTCAATGGCTCATTTCCCCCCTATTGTCTTGTACCCCATTATTTTTCAGCACATATTGACATAGACCTAGGTTTTACTATGTCAAAAAGATACACATACTAAAAATTATTTCAATATATGACTACTTAATGACTCTTAAAAGCTTAATGTTACAGCATAGAATATTTCCTTTGGTCATTTTAATAGGTCGTGATTTCATCCTTTGGACTTTTACTGATCTTCAAATTTTCAGAATATTTAAAAATATATTAAAATTTTTCTGTTTGATACATAGTCAGCAATCATTTTTGGACTGATGTCACCAATGCTCTTATAAACAATCCAGAAATTTAGTATTATATTATTTCTTCCAAAGTTTATATTCAGATACTTTTCTAAAAATGCCTGCAAATTTCATGAATACTTTAAACAATTATTTTAATTTTAATTACAGTTGACATTATGTTACTTTCATATGTACAACCCAGTGATTAGATATTATATAATGTGCTAACTAATCACCCTGATAAATCTAGTACCCACCCACCCGGCACCATTCTAGGGTATTGCAATATTATTAACCATATATACCCTGTGCTGTACTTTACATCCCCATGACTATTTTTAACTACAAATTTGTACTTCTTAATCCTGTCCCCTTTACCACTCATCCCCAAAACTACCATCCCATCTGCCAAATGTCAAAATGTTCTCTGTATCTATGAGTCTGTTTCTGTTCTTGTTCATTTATTTTGTAAGTTTGTTTTTTAGATTTCACATATAAGTGAAATCACCTAGAATTTGTCTTAGTCTGACTGATTTCACTCAGTATAATATTCTCTAGGTCCATCTATGTTGTTGCACATGGAAAGCTTTCATTCTTCTTTATGGCTGAGTCATATTCAACTGAATATATGCATCTCTTCTTTTTAAAAATATATATTTTATTGATTTTTTACAGAGAGGAAGGGAGAGGAATAGAGAGTTAGATACATCGACAAGAAACAATGATCAGCTGCCTCCTGCAAACCCCCTACTAGGAATGTGCCCACAACCAAGGTACATGTCCTTGACCAGAATCAAACCTGGGACCCTTGAGTCCACAGGCTGACATTCTATCCAATGAGCCAAACCAGTTAGGGCAACACCTCTTCTTTTTTATCCATTAATCTATTGAAGACACTTAGGTTGCTTCCATATTTTGACTACCTATATGTATAAAAGCCCAGCAACCAAACAGCAGAACATCGTGAACGACCAGAATGACAGGTCATTATGACGTGCACTGCGGCAGCCAATCATCCTGATCTGGGCCCCAATTGGTCCCCCAACCTCCTGTGGCCCCTCCCCCTGGCCGGCTCCACCCCCATCTGCCCTCTCTCACCCTGATTAAGGATGGGGCTGGCTGGCCAACCACCTGAGGCCCCTCCCCCCGGCCGGCCAACCTCCCAGGGTCCCTTCCCCTGGCTGGCCCCCTGATAGGCCTTGATTGCCAACCAGGCCAAGGGACTGCA